ACCGGTGAAGCTACATAACAGGGGGGGGGGATGGCTCCGTGTAAAATCGAAAACTTTGGCTTGAAGCTGTGCTGTAGATTGCAGGGGAGACTGGAATGTTGAGAGAGCCAAGCAATCTATCAAGCATATTATTTTCAGATAAAAATAAAATTTAAAAAAAAAATATCTTTTATTATTGGAGAAATGAAAAAAAAATAAAAGTGATGAAGATATATGTTTTTTTTAATTTGACACTTTTAAACACTTTTAAACGTTTTTGGACTTTTAAAAAGTTCCCCGAAAAATCTGAAAAGTTAAAAAAATTAAAAAATTATTTGAATTAAAAATTATTGAAAATAACAATCTAATTCTAACAAATCTATAATTGGTCTAAATGTCGATATTGTTTTATGAGGACCTCTGTAAAAAAACATTTCTAGTAATTATTCCGAAACTCTAAATTTTTGACTCCCCACCCCAAAAAATAAATGCATAGTCGTCCTCGTAAATATCAATACAATGAAGACGACTTTTGATTTCAATTTTTGAATTCTACAAAGCTTTTAAACAGCCATGGATACATAGAAATAAAGAGAAACTGTCAATTAACAGCTCCACTTTGTTTACTTGACAACCTAGGGCCAACCACTCTAAACAACCTACCCTGGTTAGGCGGGTCCAAACTGCATAGTGAATTGTGATTGCTTAGTTGTAATATCTCATGCTTTGTTGTTTAATATGATGAAATATGATGAACTTGTAACTTGAAAAAAGCTTGTTAGAAATCAAAACTTACAGAAAAAGTCGTCTTCATTGTATTGATTTAAACGCCGACCAAGGTAGTTGCGCGTATGTTTAATTATTTCCTCGTTGAGTTCAGTATCCTTTAACCTTGAACTCAACATTTTATATATATATATATATAAGATATATATCCTTACACTTCCGTATTATATAATATATGCACTGTGCATTATATGCATTATGTTACGATTCATAGTTATGTGATTGGGGTCAAATATTGAATTTTGATAAAACTTTTTGTTTATTTTGAAATATGAAACTTAAAACTAATTAGTTGATCCAATTGACGCCTTTGAAATAAATCTAATGAGAATAAAAAAGGAAATTCGTGAAAATCTTTGAATTTTGAGAAAAAATCTGCAAAATTTTGAAGTAATTTTGTTATAAAATGTTTTATTTATAGCATTAGTATACCCCTCAATTAGACCCGTTAACGTGTGATTATGAATTAAATGTTGCGCTATGACGTTAGTTTAGTTGTTATCTCATTGAGATGAACCTTTAAACAGAGTTATCTATATAGTTGTGTTTAAACCTTCATCATGATTTTCAGAATATTCATCTGTATATTTATCTTAGATTTTAAACAGGAAAACTAGTTAACAAAACATTGTCTTACTTTAAATAAACTCAATATGCAATAGATATACTGAGAACTAGAAAACAATGGAATAAAATGACATTATAGTGTATTTGATGTTGTTACAAAACAAATAGTTTTACTAGACACTTACAAAATTACTAATTTAACGAACTGGGTCTGTTTACACTGCACAATTTCAGTGTCTCATGCTCATCGGACTTATTAAATTTCTAATTTGATTTTAAAAGTCGTCTTCTTGTTTTAGAGTTTTCTGGTTATCATTAGTCAAAGCAATTTGATGTCGTTTGTCTTCAAAATATCAATACCACTATTTTGTAATTTGTACAGGGTGTCCCAATAAACATGGGAACTGAGAAACCACTTGAATATCGTCTTTGATTTCCGATAACTGATAAATGACATAAAGTGCATCAAAAAAAGATTAAACGTCTACTGAGCTTTCCAAAATGTGGTCAACATTCTTTGTCTTTTTAAAGTTGACGGAGGTATTAAACATTTGAACAGTTTTGTTGATTTGAAATTAACTGGAATCTGGACAAATTTCCTGATGTCTTCGTCCATTTTGAAGATGAAAAAATGGTAGATCACGTTATACCTGTGATACTACAAAATACTATTTACGAAAGACGATATAAAAGTCGTCATGTAATTCCCCTGTTTAATGGGACACCCTGTATAACTTTAATATTTCTGAAAATGAGCTATACATACAAATCTTCAAAGACATTTTCTGCTTTATTTTGATGTTTATATTCATTTTTTCCAATAATCCACCAAATTTATGAATTTTTAAAAATCTATTTTTTTTAAGACAAAGCTTTATTGTACAGGGCTACCCACAAAGGATGAGTCTTTAGAGACGACTGCACGGAATTTCTTGAATTCTTTTTTTTTTGGCGTCATTTCATTTGAAAACCAGCTTTTTTTCTTTGCCAAACCAGTTTGTAAACTATTTGAAGAGTAAATTGGTCAGACAGAAGACAAAATCTAGCATTACCATTGTCATATGTAAATTGTTTTCGGTCGTCGTTTTATAGTCTCATCTTTTGTGAGTAATCCATCGTTGTTAACAAGTTTAGTATAGGTCCACTCGCTTTCTGAGGAGGCCCGAAAACTGGGTAAGAAACAAATCAAAGAGAACTTTTGCTTGCAAAAATACTTTATCAGAACTTTTTCTTTATTTAAAACTGCGTAATAAACAATAAACAAGAAGACTGCTATCTCAAGAGAATAAACAATAAACAAGAAAACTGTTCTCTCAAGCAAATAAACAATAAACAAGATAATAATCAACAAATAAAAAATGAAAAATATGAAGCATTGCTACCCTCCCTCCCTCGCTATCACACTCATATTCAACATTTCTAACTTCCCGTTATCTTTAGTACCCCCCTTCCTCCCCCCACCGTTGATCGCCTCTCTCCCCCGATACTTTTCCGTAAAGAGTGTCCCAATAAGCATGGAGATTAAAAGACGACTTGAAAATTGTCTTCGATTTACGATAGTTCATAATTGACAAAGTGTGTATCAAAATAAAGACGAGGACTGATCGGTTCAGCCGTTTTCACGTTTATTGGATACTAACAAACAAACACACAGACACCCAGACTAGCAAAGTATATATATAGATTTGAATGATTTCAAAATATTTGCGCCCATTTTGAAAGGGAAAATATGTTAAACCACATTTTTGGAATTCTCAAGACTTCATGTCGTCTCTTTAATCCTATGTTTATTGGTACACCCTGTATTTTTACTTTTAAGATTTTAGATCAAATAAACAAAATAATATTAATGATTTAAATCTTTATTTATCAAGTTGAGAAATGGGCTCCCTTAGTTTGGATTCATTCAGAAGATCCATTCATGCCTTCATCTGTACCATTTCATTTACAGAATATACAGGTATATTATGTACTTGTATGTACTGTATGTACTGTATTGTATGCACTGAATCTACTGTATGCACTGAATGAACTGTATGTACTGAATCTACTGTATGTACTGTATGTACTGTATGTACTGTATGTACTGTATGTACTGTATGTTTCTGTATGTACTGTATGTAGTATATGTACTGTATGTACTGAATGTACTGTATGTACTGTATGTACTGTATGTACTGTATGTACTGTATGAACTGTATGTACTGTATGTACTGAATGTACTGTATGTACTTATGTACTGTATGTACTGCATGTAATGTATGTACTGTATGTACAGCATATGTACTGCAAATGTACTGTATGTAATGAATGTACTGTATGTAATGTATGTAATGTTTGAGTTATATGTTCTGCATGTACCGTATTTACATTATAATCTGTATGTTCTCTATCATAGTATGTACTGCATGTGCCGTATTTACGGTATGAACTGTGTGTAATGTCTGAATGTAAGTGATGTATAAAATGTATGTACTTATGTACTGTATGTACTTTATTTTCCGTATGTACTTTATTTTCCGTATGTACTTTATGTACTTTATGTACCTTATGTACTGTACATATTGTATGTACCACTTATTCTTATGTGCCATATGTACTGAATCTACTTTATGTACTTGAAGTACTCAACGTACTTGCTGTAATTGATGTACTGTTTATGCTTGATGTACTTGATGTACTTTATGTACTTGATGTATTTGATGTACTTGATGCACTTGCTGTACGTTATGGGCTACATCTAGATATACTTGATATTTTTATGTACTTGATGTCCTCTAGATTAATGATGAGAATGAAAGACTAGTACAGGAGAACCCAACTCAAGATTCTATAGTTACAGGTACATAAAAGGTACAGACATGGTACAGACATTGCATACTTTAATTTGCAATCAAATTCTGTTGCGATAAAAACAATTACAATCAGAAATTTATTGCAATTGGCACTGATTGCAACTGATTGCGCTGGATTATGATTTCAATCGTAAGAGATTGCACTAATGTTGTTAATGAATGATTTTATTGCAATTCGTTTGATTGCAACTGAATTGAATATCACCAAGTTTGAGTACAATCAAACGTGTTCCATACAAAATTATTGAATTATAAGTGACAACATAGTTGATTGCAAGATAGTCTTTAACTGTATCGGAATGCGGATACAGATATATTGTATATAAATACTAAATATCCTATATTAAGGTCCGGATACAGTCACAGATATCCTGTATATGAATACAAAATATCCTATATTAAGGTCCAGATACAGATATCCTGTATATGAAAACAAAATATCCTATATTAAGGTCCGGATACAGATATCCTGAATATGAATACAAAATGTTTTATATTAAGGTCCGGATACAGATATTATGCATATGAATACCAAGTATCCTGTGGACTGTGTAAACTGTTTCCAACCTTTCTTCTTGTAAGTAAAAAAGTAAAAAGTAAAAAAGTAAAAAAGTAAAAAAGTAAAAAAGTAAAAAGAAGAAAAGGTAGAAAAATAAAATATATAAAAGAAGAAAAGGTAAAAAATATCCTATTAAAGGAACTGTCCACGTAATTTCAAGTGACCCTCTATTTATAGAATGGAATGAATGATTCACAACGGTACCCTTAAAGTTTTGTCTGATCAATGTGGAACAAGTTATCCTTCTTTTTACTAGTTAAAAATTAAATATAATTAAATATATATATTGAAAATACAAGGTACTAATGCAAGGAAAGTTATTTGCAGTCGCATACACTCTGCGTACATATTAAAACCAGTTCTCTTTGGGCGGATTTTGTAAACAAGAATAGATGCTTCAGTGTTCGTCTAGTATCCCAGGAGGATAAAAGCATTTAATTTTGATAACTTTGAAAATTCACATAATAGTTTCATATGACCCAAATATTTCATAGATTATTTTTGTGAAAATGGATTCCATGTCAGGCTGTAACATCCGTCTTGTGTTTACTTTTCCGCCCAAATACAGTGCACTTCAGTACAAAAAATGTGTACACCTCATGGTTCAGAAGATCAGAGTTTATGGCAAACACTTAATTCCATTGCGTTGCGAGGTTTCCCATTAATTGTACGATTTTCACAGTGGCGAGGACCCCAGTACAGCTCCTATGTACACATTTGTAACTGAACATCTGGATTCCTGCAGTACAGTTGATGTCACTTACAGTATGTTCTACCCGTACAATTATGGAAAAGTAAGATTACCTTTTAACATGAAATTCAAGAAAATATATTTAGGATATGCTTGAATTTTAATTTTGATTGTACACTGTACATTTACACAAAAAATGTTGTTTATTTTCATGTCACAAAGATTAAAATACTTTATATATATTTATAAACTAAAGTTGACTATGAAATGAGAATATTCAAACTGTAGTAAAACTGTTCTGTAACAATAATAACTTTTAAATGGACTGTAGTAAGTTATAAATCGAGTGACCTTCATGCAAAGATGTCAATACCCGATTCACAACGGTACCCGCCCCGTATGAATTAGTTATTATTGTTTATAATCTAAAAAATCATTTGTCTTTAATTCTAGTTTTCCACAAACGTGACTTGCGCATTTCTACAACAGTCAATTCTGGTTTCCCACAAGAGTGACTTGCGGATTTCTACAACAGAAAAACATATGAGAGTTTTCAGAGTTAAAGACATTCAACCTAGAAAACCGACAATATCTTCCTCAGTTTTAATCAGATATAGGTTTTAGCTGAGTACCGTTGTAAATCGGGCGTTGTTATGTTTGCATGGAGGGTTACTTGAAATTACGCTTACAGCCCTTGTAAGTTTTGATTTTTTTTTGTATATTCCAAACCTCTATTTAATGATGTTTGCGTTGGTTTGGAAGAGTTTGGATTCTCTGTTGGAGATTCCAAACCTCTATTTTAGGATGTTTGCGTTGGTTTGGAAGAGTTTGGATTCTGTGTTGGAGATTGGCAAACTTTTGGAAATCATATAGGAGACTGGGAACATGTGTCTTTGAGGTAGATCATCAGCTGATTTGTGTAAATAAGCTGATCTATGTTATTCTTTTTATTGATATCAGTTTGACTGAATTCTCCTCTAATTAAAGAGGGAAATGTCAGATTCACAAAAGCACCCTTTCAACCTCTTTCTGGCCAGTAATGTGGGATAGCTTAAAAAGTGTTTAATTCTAACAACTACTTCTGTATTTCTGTTGCAGAAAATTATAATTTTAGTGAAACTACAATCGAGAATTTTCTCTTATTTGTGGTCAACCATTCAAAACTTTAAAGGGTACCCTTGTGAAGCTTACTCCGAATCCTCTCAAAAATAAAAGTTAACTTCAAACGAATAAAGTCCCTTTAATATAGTTATTAATCTTTTAAATATATTCCATTGATTAAACCTTTGATCCAGATTTCAAGGCGGAGAGCCTTTGATGATTTATGTTGGTGTTCATTCCTTTGGGGCTTGGTACTCTTGGGACAGGTATTACAGTGAATACAAAAAAAAATTTTAAAAGAAATAAAAAATAAAAAAATAATGAGAATTTCCCAAATCTGCTGATATATTTATTTCCAAATTTCAATATCTAGAAGAATAGATGATACACATAAAGCAAAATCTTTACTCTGATTAAAAAGATATTTCAAGATAGGAAACGGAAAACGCTTTTACAAAACGTTTTTAAAAAGTTTTAATATCTTTGATCAGAGTAAAATTTTCGCTTTTTGTATTTAAAGCAAACGTGTCTCGCATGCAATTTTGAAATAGGATTTGCTGCATCTCAGATTATTGTGGAGTCTTTAACAATAGTGTAAAAAGCTTTAAATGTTTTAAAATGGGCCTCAAACATCTAAATTTAAAAGTGGACTAACCATTCCTTAATCTGAGCCCGCGATTTAAAAAATTCGGGGAAATACGGCTCGGGTCTAAGCTGTCGTTGAGACCTTATTTACGGCTTGAGCTTTCGGATTCAAACTGCATCTTATTTTCCACCGAGTTGAATTTAAAAAAACCGGTTTAATATTCTATTTGGCGGATTTTCATGGTAGGAATTGGCGTATTCCCAGTTTTTATGAGAACGAGACGCAACATTGAGCCTTATTCTCCACTAAAACCAACCAATGTCGGTTTTATTTTCATTGGGACTAACTCCTGAAAGGGAGTGTTCGCGAAAAATGAAAGGAAGTATAGGCTTAATGCGATAAAAAAGTTTTGATCTCTACTAATCTCACTTCTATCTGTTGCGTCTATAAGGAGAAAATTGTTAAAAACGACTAATACCGAAGAACGTAGTGTCCATACTAGTTCAGAAATCTGCAACATTCAACTCGGATCGTGAACAAATCAATTTAATTCCAAACAAATCATTCAGATATTACAAACAATAGTCATCGATTATTTTTCGACGCATTCGTAAATACTTGATATTTCATAATATTTTGTATTTTTCATGATCTTAGAGTTACTTTTGAAAACATTTATTCCTATTTCGAGGATTTTTGATAATGAAGACGACATTTTCATATCTTCCAGGAATGTTCGAAAATCCAAGGCCGTCGAAAATTATTTAAAAAAAAACTAAATCAAAAATATTATGAAATATTAACTATATATGAATGCGTCGAAAAATAATCGAAGACTACTGTTTGTAATATCTGAACGATTTGTTTGGAATTAAATTGATTCGTTTACGATCCAAATTGAATGTTGCATCTTTCCGAATTTGTATGGACGCTGCATTCTTCGGTGTTAGTCGTTTTTAACAATTTTCTCCTTATAGACGCAACAGATAGAAGTAAGATTAGTAGCGATCAAAAGGGCATTAAGCCTATACCCCCTATTATATTTCGCGAACACTCCTTTTAAGTCGAGTCGAAGATCTTGCAGCTGTCAATCACGTGACACAAGCTGTCGTTAGAGTTGGGTTGAAGATTGGGTCTTAAAGTCGGGTTTAAGGAATTAAGACTCGAGCCGAAGCTTTTAAATCGCGAGCTCTGGTCTAAGAAATTTTTCTGTCACATGGCTAAAGTTTTACTCTAGCTGTATTGAATTTGGTCCCATCTGGAATGAACATATTTTTGATTAACTACAATATTTTTTTTTGTATATCCGCTAATCTGTAGATATATTTTTGATCTAGCCAGATATTAACTTTCACTTATAAACTTGTACAAATATCTTTTTATATTTCTATATTATTATATATATTTTTATATTTCTATATTATTATATATATTTTTATATTTCTCTATTATTCTATATATTTTTATATTTCTATATTATTATATATATTTTTTCTTCTAGATTAGCTTTTACATTATATTATAGATAGATCTGTAAACAGATTTATATTTCTAGATCTGCAAATAGATTGATATTTCTAGACCTGTAAACAGATTTATATTTCTAGATATGCAAACAGATTGATATTTCTAGACCTGTAAACAAATTTGTATTTCTAGATCTGCAAATAGATTCATATTTCTAGACCTGTAAACAAATTTGTATTTCTAGATCTGCAAACAGATTTATATTTCTAGACCCATGCAAACAGATTTATATTTCTAGATCTGCAAACAGATTTATATTTCTAGATCTGCAAACAGATTGATATTTCTAGACTTGCAAACAGATTTATATTTCTAGATCTGCAAACAGATTTATATCTCTAGAATTAATATTTCTAGATCTGCAAAAAGATTCCTATTTCTAGATCTGCTAACAGATTAATATTTCTAGATCTGCAAACAGATTCATATTTCTAGATCAGCTTTCAGATTGATATTTCTAGATCTGCAAACAGATTCATATTTCTAGATCTGCAAACAGATTCATATTTCTAGATCTGCAAACAGATTTGTATTTTCTCACGGAGAGCCTCTCAAGAAGAAAACTATAAGAAATGGTAAAACGTAAGTATATAATTCTAAAAATGTAAATAAAATAATTATGTTTGATTTATTTGTTGTCAAACCTTTAATCTATTGGTTAATTGATTTATTTATAAATTGATTAGTTAGTTGATGAATCTAATTATTGATTGAAATGTGTTGATTAATCAATGAATGGGTGAATTGAAAAATTAGATTGTAGATTTATTGATTAGTTGTATGACTAAATAGCTTCGAGATAAAACTATTTATTGATGTGTTGATGAATTGATTTATTAATTGTATTATTGACTACAGGTGAGAATAGATGTAAACTAATTGATTAATTGATTGTTTTAGATTGGAGATAAGATTGAGTTAGTGATCATTGATTGAGTTCCTGAACCTTGAAGAGGGCATACCAACTGTATTGTTTAATTAATTGATTGATTGATTGATTGATTGTAGCCTAAAGATGAGACTACATGTAGACTACCCCGAGTTCCTGTCCTTGAAGAGGGTAGACCAGCTGTATTGATTGATTGATTGATTTTAGACTTGAGATGAGAATAGATGTGGACTACCCTGAGTTCCTGGACCTGGAGGAGGGTAGACCAGCTGTGTTCAGTGCTAACGGTTCACATGGGGTTTGGGCACAACCAGGTACAACTTACAAGCATTCAAAGGACTGTAAATCCTTTTATGGAGAAACAAAAAATATAAACGATGTATTTGTTGTCCGTATTTTGCTTTAAAACATAAGACTACTCATAATTTAATTTTAACTTCCGAAAATAGATTAAAAGTTATTGTTGCAGGAAAGTTAAAAATATTATAGTAATATTGTCACCATGCAGTAATCTTTCTTCGTAGCTTTATACAGTACTAGAAATTTAGGGCGCTTCGCGCCCTTCTTTCTAGGCTTTTATTTCATTTCATTATTTTTTATTTCTTCTATTTCAACTTTTAATTGTGGCTTTATCTCTGAACATCTTCTCTTTGTACAGTATAAAACAAAAACAAAAAAAGTTTGCGAATTTCATAATATTTTTTTGCGCATTTTCAAAATTTTTCAAAATAAAAAACTTTTAAAAACAATTTTTTAAAATTTTGATCATTCATAAACCTTCCCTGGGGTCACGTGAGGTCCCACAAACAATTTGGGCCCGATCGGTTCAGCCGTTTTAAACGTTTATTGGATACAAAAAACAGACAAGCCAAATTTATATGTAGATGTATACAACTAGCCTCATAGGGCGCTTCGCTTCTGGATATAAATGCATAATGAATAAAGAGTGTATAAAAGGAGAGTAGATCTTCTCTGGATCTAGAATCCAGCACTGCTGACTTGCGTATTTTGTAATCCTCTTTTCGGGATTTTCATCTCTACAATCTAAAACATGTTTATGCTTTATTTTTTCCTTTATGTTTTAGGAAAGCACACTTACCTACATATACTGACGGTACACCTGGATGATTTTTGTGATAAAGGAGTTTCATGGAAATCTTGGGAAAACCTCAGTAAGTTCAGAAAGAAATATAAAAACTATAAAGTGCTATAAAAGGAGGGGGAAATAGTTTCTTTGTCATGTTGGTTCTTACTTTCTAAGATTCTTTACTTCTTATCAAAGGTTTAAACCTTCAGGTTGCAAAGATTTTCTGGCCAATACTAAATTCCTTAGAAATAAAGATTTTATTTACATTCTTCATTTATGCTTTTAAATATGCCAGGCAGATTCTTAACAAAATTGAATCAAATTTTAATTATTTTTATTTTAGAAATCTACGAAACCGGACCTTTGGACCAGTACACAGGAAAAATATTTTTTAATCTCTAAGGTTCTTAAGAATTAAAAAAAAACAGAAAACAAAAAATATATGACTCTACTTTAGATTGAAATAATATACAAATTTTGAATATTTTAAATATTTTAAATTTTTTAATGGCATTGCTGAAACAAACAATTCAAATAGATTTTGGTTTTAATCTTTGATTGCTATTTTTAAATATTTTAAAACTTCAGGAGAGGATAGTTGGATTAACTTTAAAGGAAGATGGGGCAATATTAAGAAATTAGTAAGTATATATTTATTTATAAATTCGACTGGTTTGTCTGTCTGCTTGTACCCCAAAAACGGCTGAACACGGCCCCAGGGAAGGTTTCTGGATGGTTAAAATTTTACCTGGATAAATTTCGTTGAACTTTTTTTTTTAAATTGCATGGTCGTTTGAAAGCAACCTTCAAATGCATAAATTGTCGCTGGAAGAGGGGCACGATCAGTACATTTTTGATTGCATGATAAATTTAAGAGCTTTTTTACTTTAAAATATTCGCATTTTAATGTTTTGGTTTTGGTTAAATTCTGGATTTAGAAAAGTCATTAAAAATATCTAGTTTTGCCTCTAAACATGGAAAATTACAAAAAGAAATCTATTTCATTTTAATCTTCCTTTTTTGTTGGTATGTTTATTTTCAAGTTGCTAAAATTATTAGGTCCGTTTCTTGTCCCCAGAAAACCTCGGTTTATCAAAAGCTTGAAAATCAATCATAATTCAAAACATCTGCGAAGTATATCAGATGTTTTGTAAAAAAAGGGGTTTTCGTTGAAATAAATTTATTTATTACAATATAGAGGGAAGTTAATGGCACTGGAAGACACAGTAAAACAAAGAAGCTTGCCAGCATCTGCATTAAAAAGTCCTGTTTTTTGGCTTGAAAAAGGAATTTTGTAGAAGAGGCATATTTTCAAAATGATCGATATTTAATACTAAACTATTTATTCTGCAGGGGTGTGGTTTAGAGCCTTTAATAGGAGAATGTGGACTAGTGGGTGGACCTACAGGACCACACAAATACTTCAAACATGACTTCCAGCAACCACCAGCATGTATTCCACCTAGATTCCACCTCTAATAAACTTCCAGAAACCTGTATTCCAGCTAGATTACAGTCGAATATACTTCCAGCAACCTATAGCCTATATACCAGCTCTTATATGCTTCCAGCAACCACCAGCATGTATGCCAGCTAGCTTCCAGCTCTAATTACTTCCAGCAACCTCTAGCATGTATTCCAGCTAGATTCCAGTTCTTATACGCTTCCAGCATCCTCTAGCCAGTATTTCAGAGCTCTAATAAACTTCCATCAACCACTATTCTGTATTCTAGCTAGATTCCAGCTTCAATAGAACTCCAGCTCCCTCCGACCTATTTTCTAGACCAGCTAGATTCCAGCTATAATATAATTCTATGACCCTCCAGCCTGTATTTCAGCTAGATTTTAGCTCTAACATACTTTCATCAACCTTCAGAATGTATTCCAGCTAGATTCCAGCTCTAAAATATTTCCAGAAAACTCTAGCATGTTTTCTAGCTAGAATCTAGCTTTAATATACATCAAGCAACCACTAGCCTGTATTCCAGCTAGGTTACAGCTTTGATATGCTTCTAGCACCCTCCAGCCTGTATTCCAGCTAGATTCCAGCTCTAATATACTTCCAGCAATAAGTATTCCAGCTCTATTCTAGCTCTAATTTACTTCCAGCAACCTGAATTCCGGCTATATTTTAGCTCAAATATACTTTCACCAACCTCTATTCTAGCTAGAATCCAGCTCTAATATACTTCCAGAAACCTCTAGCCTGTATTCTAGCCACATTCCACTCTAATATACTTGAAGTACCCTACAGCCTGTTTTCCAGTCAAGCTAGATTCCAGCTTCAAATTCTACCAGCAACCACCAGCCTGTATTCCAGCTAGATTCTAGTTCTAATATACTTCCAGCAACCTCTATTCTGTGTTATAGTTAGATTCCAGCTCTTATATGCTTCCAGCAACAACTTGCTTGTGTGCCAGGTAGATTCCAGCTTTAATATACTTTCAGCAACCTCAGCTAGATTCCAGCTTTAATATACTTTCTGTAACCTCCAGAATGTATTTCAGCTAGATTCAAGCTCTAATTTGCTTCCAGAACCCTACAGCCTGTTTTCCAGTTAGATTCCAACTCTAATATACTACCAGCAACCTGTATTCCAGCTAGATTCCAGCTCTAGTACACTTCCAGCAACATGTATTCAAGCTGTATTCTAGCTGTAATATACTTCCAGCAACCTTTTTTCTAGCTAGATTCCAGCTCTAATATACTTCCAGCAATCTGTATTCTAGCTATATTCCAGCTCTAATATACTTCCAGCTACCTGTATTTAAGCTGTATTCTAGCTCTAATATACTTCCTGCAACCTGTATTCAAGCTATATTCTAGCTCCAATATACTTCCAGCAACCTGTATTCCAGGTGTATTCTAACTCCAATATACTTCCTTCAGCCTGTATTCCAGCTCTATTCTAGCTCTGATATACTTCCAGCAACCTGTATTCAAGCTATATTCTACCTCTGATATACTTCCACCAACCTGTATTCCAGCTCTATTCTAGCTCTGATATACTTCCAACAACCACTAGAGTCCAGAGCCCGTTCTCTCCATAATAATGTTTAAACAGTGGCCGTGTTGTTCACGTACTTTGGGGGACGATAGTTTGGCCGCTTTCTTATCTGATAGATAGATAGTTCTTACGAGAGACATCTAGCGGCCAAACTATCGTCCCCCAAAGTACGTGAACAACACGACCACTGTTTAAACATTATTCTGGAGACAACGGGCTCAGAACAGTAACAAAGATAACAAATTACAATGATAATAAATAAACAGGAGAGTAATTGTCGTCTTTGGTCACTACTCACATCAGAAATACCGCTTAAGAGTTATAGTAATATTATTTATAATAACTACAACAAATTCTTATTATAAAAATAACAAACAGAACAATTAAGGACTCCCATTTTACTGTTTATTGGTTGTCAATAAAGATGATTAATATTTTGATTTTTGTTAATTATTTATCAAAGCGCTGACTTGATTCTTTTTTAATCTATCGGCTTGCTTGTTTTAAATTTTTAGATACTGTTAAACTTATAATAAATATATATTTATGCAAAAAAAAATTCTGTCTAGAAGTGTTAACTAGATTAAATTTTTTTGATTACTTTGAAAGATATATCTGAAAGTCGTCGTCATTTTCATTATGTTTGTTTCCTGCAGGGTGTCCCACGAAACGTAACATTTAATAAATAGTTATTTTTAGTTAAACAATTCTTTTGCTTACTTATAATTTAATATAACATGACTTCCAGATAACATTTTTATTGATCTTTGGTATCAAACAACTGAACAAATAATGGAAAAAGACATTCTAAACTATTCACCAACTGTCATGTTTCGTGTGACACCCTGTAGTTCTTAAGAGGAGTGGGGGAGTGGGAAATCCATAAAATACCGGACTAACACGATCCTGGTTTATCGAACGAAAAGAATTAAAAATGCTAAATAAATAGAGAATAAAACTAAATGTATAACAAGCGAAATGATAAGATAAAGAAAAATTTTAACTTTCAGACAATATATGTAAAAACCCTTAAATTTTAAAACAAGCAAGATCCCCCAAAAAAATTTTTATCCCTAAATTTGTATTTTTTAATTTGTTGTCGCTGCAGAAAATCAAGTCTCTGCAAAAAAGGGCAATTAGAGCGGTAAATAATAGTTCATTTAAGGCACATTCAGATCCAATATATTTTTCAGATTAGAACTCCTAAATTTTGATGATACATATAAACTAGATGTACTATCTTCAGGGGCGTACGAGGGCTTTTGTTTAGGCGGGCCCCCGGGCAACAGTATGCCCCCCTTAAAATCCCCTTTTTTGAAAAAATATTGATACCTTTTTTATTTTTTTTTGCCCCCCTACCACCTGGACTTGTTTTGTTCACTATAAAAATACCATAAATCAATAATCACAACATCATTAAAAATTATATTTTTACTAATAAACGAAATTTCTTCTGAATTTTTTAGATAGAATTTACTCAATCTACATATTCACCAACTCTTTTAATGCAAAAATAATTGCGCAAAACTAAAATTTCGTTTCATGCGCAACTTTCGCAAAAAATATTTCCGGTTTTGCGCAAATTGCGCAAAATAAATAGCGCAAAACCGCGCAAAACTCATTGCGTTTCATGCGCAAAAATAGCGCAAAAGTTCGCAAAAATAAAATTTGCGTGAAAATAGCGCAAATTTTGCGCAAAAGATTTAGCCATTTCGTGGAAACCCTAAACAAATCATATACACTTGAACGGGTTCTCTTTAAAACTCTAGAATGTTTTCCCTCCGCTTTATTTCCAAAAATATTAAAATTCGATTGAATTAGAGCTGAAAGAAACTAAATCTGCAAAATCGTTTAAAAGAAAAGTCGCCAAGATCTATTTAGATAGCAAATTATATCTGTAAAAAAAACTGTGTATCATGTGGATAAACTTAGTCTTTACTATCTTCTTCACCCCGTAGTTCATAAACATGATTCTAATAACTTATGTTACCCTCTGTTCCAACCCTTACGCTGAGTATCCTCCCTTTCCCTTATACTCCCTCACCTCCTCCTTACCATTTTCCTGATTTATCATCGTTCTTATGTTTAAAATGTACAATGTACATTGTTTTTATCTGCAATTCTCATTCGTTTATAGTGGGCCAACCAATTAAAACAACCTACTCTGGTTAGTAAACTGCATAGTAAATTGTGGCTTTTTTATTTGTATTATCTCGTGCTTTGTAGTTGAATGAAAATATGAATGTTCATAAATTAGGCCCCCCCCCCCCTGCCCTCCCAGATTAAATGGTTGACCATACGATAATGATTTCTACCTTCCCTATAACAACAAAACTGTAGAAAGTATCTAATACTTTCTCCATACATATATTAATATAAATTAGTATCAAACTACAGCATAGTTTTACACTAACCATTTTTTAGTTCACAGGAACTGAACACCTCCTTAAACCATAAATAATATTAACCTGATGTTATAGACCTTTTAAATTTAAAAGATGAACTCTGCTGAACAAATAGCCAAGGTTTAAAATTTTAAAGGTTTACCCCATCAGGTTGTAAAGATATAGATATTAAAAAAATGCATTCAGATTCAAGCCTAAAATTTGGTTCATTGAATCGGAAATTGTACGTAGATTTAAAAAATGTCTCAATCTTCAGGGGCGGATACAGGATTTAAGTGAGGTGGGGCAAGATTTTTTAGGAACAAAAAAATTCATAATTAGGAACAAAATATCCCGCCGCAGGTGAAAATTTTTTTTGACTTAAAATACTCAAAAAGAGTCAAAATTAAAGACTTAAAAACTAGATTTTTTTCACACATTATAGTTTATTAAGACAGATATTTTGTGTAAAACTGCAAGAAACCATAAACGTTAAACGTAAGAAAAAGATATTTCAACCCAGTGTCGTCGACCTTAGATATTTTAGACATGAATTCTTTTAGATCACATTTTCTTTTCACGATTAGGTTGCAAAGGTTTAGGGATTAGAAAATTTAAGTTTGTGACAAAGACTCATTTCCGTTGTCTCTAAAGTATCATCATTTATAGCAAATTGTGTGAATTGTATTAATATTCAGAACTAAAAATGATTCTGAAGATTATGAACTGGCTACACAGGTATAACAATAGTTATATATTTATTCATTTTTAGAACATTATCCTTTTTAATTCAACCAATGTCCTCTATTTTATTCTAGAGAATAAATGTGCCTAATCCATAATTAAAACACAACAAATTTCAAAGAAAATATGGACCAAATGCGTACTTGATTGCAGATAAAGCTATTTTCATAAAAATATTATGAAACATCTATATACTTGTTGACGGAAAACAGCAACACGCTAGACAAATCAGGATAATAGGCCAGTAAGGATTCTGGTGGGGGATGTTTATTTTCCCCGGACAATTCTTTCCCGATAGGCCGCACAAATACACACAACAGAGTAACCCCGTCTCAGAAATTCGATAACAAAATCTTTATTTCCTAAAAAATAACATAAATTATAGGTCATGGTTACTTGTACAATGTTATAATGAATATTAATAGTAGAAAAATCTTACGAATTATTTAAGGATGGTCGGGGGTGACTTATTGTTGATCAGTATTGAAATACGTTTTTTTAACTTCTGAAAAATTACAGTTGAATATTTAACGAAATTCACTAATGCTTCTTATGAAAATATTTTGCTTAACTTTAATGATTTCACAACAACGAAAATATTTTAAGCTCCGTCGGAGGAGTACAAAGGGAATTGCGGGCTGAAAATTTGGTTTGGCTGTCTCCGAGAGGAAATAAACATTGAAGACGACATTTTACAGAGGTCTTAAATTAATGGTTAACAATACTATACACGAATGCATCGAAATGAATTCGACATATAGATATCTGAATGATTAATTTTAAATTCAATATTTACGATCAAGTGGAAAAATGCAACTCTGTGAATTATATGGACGCTACGCTCTTGAATACAAAACGTTTTCTCCGTATATGCGCTACAGATAAACTGAAATTAGTTGCGATCAATATCGATTTTAAATTGATATCAGCCTATAACCCTTCAATTTTTAGCGATCACTCCCTTTAAGCAGCACCCTCAAAATAATATATTTTATAGTAGTGGAATTTTATCCGGGGTTCTAGTCGCAACCTTCCTCTGTTTAATAGTCTACCTACTACTCAGGTTCATCTACACAAACCAGAAAACTCTAAAATAGGAAGACGACTTGTAGAATCATTATAAGTCCAACGAGCATGATGAGCCAGAGCAATTGAGCAATGTAAACAGACCCATTTCACTAAATTAGTGATTTACGGGTGTCCAGTATAAGTATATAGCTTTGTAACAACATCAAATACACTTCAGTATTGTTATAATGTCGCCTTCCTATTAAATTGTTTTCTGGTTCTCACTGCAATAAAAACAATTCTGATTACTCGGCTCTGATTCTAACTTTTAAATCCTTATATTTTTGCAGCCTCATGGTTAACACCTGTGATATTTTAGAACTTTTGGACTATTTCATCAAACTTTTACAGTTTAAAATCTAGAAAGGTCCAAGAATTTAATGCAAGGAAAGTCATTTATTTCAGAGGTGTACGCATCTTTTGTACTGCAGTGTAAGCTGTCAGTGGGCGGTAATGTAAACACAAGACGGATGTCGAAGCCTGACATGGGATCCATCTTTCACATAAAAAATCAATGAAATATTCTGGTCATACAGGACACTATTATGTGAATGATCAAAATTATCAAAATTCAACGCTTTTAACCTCCTCGGATACTAAACGAACCTTGCATTACATTCTTGGAAAGGTCTAGGCCGACTGGTTTAAATCAATAAGGATTAGAAAATTGGAGTATGCAGTTCCAATCACGGGAAACAACGGAATTATCATTATTATTTGCAACTGATCTATTTATTGAATATTTAAATTTAAATTTAAAATTTAAAATTTAAAATTAAAAATTTAAGTTTCTTTTATTTTAATTTGAAATCTTGTCTAGTTTATATTTTCAAAGACAACTTTCTATCTGGAGATCTAATATATTTGTAAGCAATGTGCTTTCTGGAGATCTAATATATTTGTAAGCAATATGCTTCCTGAAGATCTAATATATGTGTAAGCAATGTGCTTTCTGGAGATCTAAAAAATTTGTAAGCAATATGCTTTCTGAAGATCTAATATATGTGTAAGCAATGTGCTTTCTGAAGATCTAATATATGTGTAAGCAATATGCTTCCTGAAGATCTAATATATTTGTAATCAATGTGCTTTCTGAAGATCTAATATATTTGTAAGCAATTTGCTTCCTCATTTTCTCAGAAAATGTAAACCAGGGCTCTATGAATTTTAGAGGTCAAAGTCTCACATATAACTTTGCATAAATAGCCTAAAAACGTTGTTGTAAGCTTTAATAAGATTGAATTGACATTTAAAAGTTTGCTAAACCTAGATTTGAGGAGTACACAGAGACCAGCGCCAAGCAGAAGAAGGAAGAACAGATCGTGGAGCGTGGAAAAATGAGGTCATTTAATTCATTTATTTTGAGATATTTTTGTTGTTGTGGGAGGTCGCGAAACTTTTGTATTTTAATCCTTTTAAAAGACACTTCTCCGTATCTTTTTAAGTCCGTCGAATATTTTTTTACTTCCTTTTGGATAAATATAAATAATAAATAAAAAAATAAATAATCTTGAAAATACATGTCAGCTGCTTTTAACGATTTAAGCCCTAAATCGCTTTGAATAGTACAGAAGTTTTCGTTGAGAGTTCACAAAATCAGAGTATTTTTATAATATCCGACGTACTTGATTAAACTTTTACTTTTACATTTAAAATGTGAAATTAAAAGAAATAAATGGATTCAGTTTTATAAAATTCTGAATTTGATTTCTTTAATAAGTTTACTTTTGTTAATTTTATTATCACGGCCCAAAGGACGACACAAAAATTAAAATCCAAAACTTAAGAACATCATGGCTCTGATTCACGAGAACTTATTAAATTAGAATATTCTTATTCAATAGTTAGTAAACGGACGTTTTACCGTTCTACGTTATTAAATTTACAAAATATCCCTTCAAACAGAAACAAAAAAATAGATGAATTAATTTATGAAGACGACATTACAATACTTTTTAAATTCCATTTAAATAATTTCTAGTTTAGATTGGCGGCTTACACTGTTGGGGCTCAACTACGAATGAACTCTCGTGGCCGAGGGAAAAGAGTGAAAGAAGACTAAATATTAAAATATTACAAATTTAAATTTTAATAAAAACAATAAAATTTTCTTTATATGAAATTTAACTTTTTTGTGATTCGAGAAAAAAACATTATGCTTTGATTCAACCATTAGGTTGCAAAGATTTAGGGATTAGAAAATTAGAGTTTTATAAATAATAAAATGATAAATATACCCCCTCCACCCCTCCGGCCCGCTCCATTCCGATTCTTGTTTATGCATTCCTTCATCCATTCCATATTTATATTTAACGGCTCCAATTCCATAAATGAAATTACGGTAAGCTATATTCCTTGTATAATAAACCTCTATCAGACCATTTAAATCATGTCTAAGTATCTTTTTATTAACAAAACATATATATTTAACCAGGAAACCTCTAAGTGTCCAACTTTCTATGAAATGTCTCATGTATTGCTATGGAATGTCTCTTGTACTGCTATGAAATGTCTCATGTATTGCTATGAAATGTCTCATGTATTGCTATGAAATGTCTCATGTATTGCTATGAAATGTCTCATGTATTGCTATCAAATGTCCCAGATCTCTCGTAAGATGTTATTGTAATTTATACTTGATCACCTTATATAAAAGCATTCTCGGCGTCTAAAAAATTGGAAGAAAAAAAATATTGGTAGAACCAGAATACAGGCACATATAAGCCCTAGAACCAGACCTAGGCAGTTTACTGGCACATAAACCAGCTGACTTTCACCCCCGGCTCATCTAACCATCCTGGAAGGAAGATAAAATAGAAAGATTAAAGTGAGGAACTATAAAGTGTACACTGTAAATACATTTTCGTCGATTTTGTGAAACGTGTCAGGGACAATTATCAACGTTTTTCTCGTAAATTTGTGAAAAAGGTAAAGAAAAAAGAATTAAGAGAGGGGGTTTCTTTAAATTCTGAAAAGAATATTTAGCGATAGATTGTATAATTTGTAAAATTGCTTTGAAAGTATAAACTTCTCTAAGACTGGACTTTAGGACACAGATTAGACATGACAGTTGATCTTAAGAACTAATGAGACCCAGGCCAAAAAATGGGCCAAAACCAAATCAGATAGAAATATGGATACATTAAGAATTTTCTTTGAAGGATATTTAAATAAACTTTTTCATTTGTTTTTATCTAACTCCTCCCCTGAACGCCGAATCATTAATCTCATATGAGGCCGAAGTTCCCTTCATGAATCACACGTCTCTCCTCCCCAATATATTCATCAATGCATGCTAAAGCCACTAATTTGTTCATTAGAGGGATTTCAATTAATTAACTAGAAATTTTAACTTTTCTATTTTCTCAGAAAAATAATTTTGTTCAAAACAATTTAATATCTTCAAGAGACTGTTTCTTCAAATGACCGTCCATTTAAAGAGTCACATGTTATTCGTTTTTTTTTAAATGATCAAGTGATTTATGTATCCCTAAAGAGACATGGAAATTTGCGCTTTTTTCTTCCCGAAGAGACTGTTTATATATTTTCAAGTGCTCCTTCATTAAGTGCCCTTCTTTGACTAATAAAGTATGTCGGACTCAAGGATTGTAAGGCAAGGAAAGTTATTTCAGAAGTGAACACATCTTTTGTACTGCAGTGTACTGTCTCTGGGCGGTAATGTAAACATAAGACGGATGTCAAAGCCTGACATGGGATCCATCTTTTACATAAAAAAAATCAATGACATATTCTGGTCATAGGAAAATATTATTTGAATTATCAAAATTATCAAAATTGAATGCTTTTAACCTCCACGGATACTAAACGAACACTGATGCATCTATTCTTGTTTGCAAATTCCGCCCAAAGAGAACTGGTTTCAATGTGTACGCAGAGTATACACGACCGCAATTAACTTTCCTTGGATTACACCCTTGGTCGGACTTATCCTTATTTCTCTACAGAAACAACTGTAATTGCTAAACACTTCGTTGTTTGCTGTTTAATATCTTAGAACAGGAAAGGATGAAGTATTATTACCCACCCTGTATATAAAATAAGAAAGGATTAAGTATTATTATCCACCCTGTATACAAGAATAGGAAAGTATGAAGCATTATTATCCACCATGTATACAAAAATAAGAAAGGATGAAGTATTATTACCCACTCTGAATACAAGAACAGGAAAGGATGAAGTATTATTACCCACCCTTTATACAAGAATAGGAAAGGATGAAGTATTATTACCCACCCTGTATACAAGAATAGGAAAGGATTAAGTATTATTACCCTCCCTTTATACAAGAATAGCTAGGAAAGGATGAATTATTATTACTCACCGTGAATACAAGAATAGGAAAGGATGAAGTATTTTACCCACTCTGTATACAAGAATAGGAAAGGATGAAGTATTATTACCCACCCTGTATACAAGAACAGGAAAGGATAAAGTATTTTACCCACTCTGTATACAAGAATAGGAAAGGATGAATTATTATTACTCACCGTGAATACAAGAATAGGAAAGGATTAAGTATCATTACCCACCCTGTATACAAGAATAGGAAAGGATGAAGTATTATTACCCACCCTGTATACAAGAATAGGAAAGGATTAAGTATTATTACTCACCGTGTATACAAGAACAGGAAAGGATGAAGTATTATTACCCACCGTGTATACAAGAATAGGAAAGGATGAAGTATTATTAAGAATAGGAAAGGTTGCCAGAAACATAAATAATAATATTGGGTGGGTAGCGTCTAGTACAATCTACACATATTTACACAAATACAAGATAAAACAGTTTATCCTCAATTTGTAAACTTCCTCTTTAAGCAATGTAAAAAAATATATTTTTAAAAGAACTCTGGGTCTGTCCTAGAGAACGGTTTGTGGATCCCACCTCCCCAATCCCCCCCGGGCCTCTCCTCTCCTATCAATTTTTTCAGAAAAATTATTATTATTTATTTTTATTTTTTTAGGGTTAGGTTATAGGCTAAGACAATTTCTAGGCCGAGCGCTTCGGTTAGGACAGGCTAGGGGTCCGGGCGCTGTGGCCACATGACCAATGATATCCATGTGATACACATGATATTTATGTAAAAAATTTATAGGAGAGAGGGGGGGGGGGTCAAAAAATCGTTCTCTAGGAAATTACCAGATATTTTTTTTAAAGAGAGGCAACCTCGATTCTAAACAGTAGCCTTTAGCCCTTTTTTCGGACCTGTGATAATAATACTAATAATTTCTACATTGTTTCTGAAGCAAGAAATATACAAATCAGTTTGGCAGAGAAACCACAAATGAATATAAACAGTTTAAAAACGAAAACAATCTGATAAATACTTTATAAGGGTAGAGTTGTGAATTGGACATGTCGTCATTAGAGTCTAATTCTTTTTTTGCCAACTCTGGAGTTGTTAAATTGCATTTCACAAAATATATTAGATGGGAATTCAAATGTTTTGAAAGAAAAATTGAAAAACTAAAGATTGATTTAAGCAAAACTTCATTGCAAAGATGAAAACGATAAATGAGTAAAGTATATATTTTCTGAAGTAGTCAGAAAGAATTTCAACAAATATTATGTGTCACGACATTTTTTATTTATATCCTGTCAAAAATCTGAGATAAAAATATAAATTTATGTTTACAGTTGACCTAATATTTGTCTACCATGTTATCTCCACTCCCCCCTACCCCCTCTCTTTGAAATCTCCCCTAAATCTGCCCTCCCTCCACTGTATTGACGCAACGCGAGTCTAATATTTTCCTAAAGTCTGAAGTTAAAACTGTGGAATGAGTCATGAATGTAAATTGTAAAATAAACCTTCAGTATAATTGCTGAAGCTTGCAACAAGATGTTAAATATAATTGGAGAAAGGGTAGTAAACTTTATTCTAAATAATCCTTTGGTTACCAATTATAGCAAATCCTTTAAACCGCCAACTTGGAAAATTCAAATAGTTACTCTATCTGTTAATTGGTTGTATATCCTTCAGTACTTGGGACTGGAAACAGCTGATTTCACTTATCCGGGGGGGGGGGACAAAACCCCAATAGCCCCCCTGCACATAAAAAGACCTTGCTTCTGTTCTGTCCTTGATTACAAGAGCTCTAGATCGCTTTTAGTTGGGTATGGATATATTGTTTTCACTTTTTTGAAAAACAACAGTTTCGTTTTAAAAACGATAGTTTTTCGTTTTTTGAAAGTTCAAAACGAGTGGTTCGTTTTCAAAAACAATCGTATTTAGAAGAAAAAAAGAAACGAAAAACGATTGTTTTTTAACCTTATACTTATAGACTATAGAACTTTAAAAATGAGAAAATAAAGGGCAAAAACAGAAATAAAATTAGAAATGTAGAATACAATTTGATTATTTGAGAAGGTAGACAAATGGTCGGATTTCAAGGGACTGGAGAAGTAATTAAATTGACATTTCTTTATAGAGAGGTATGTCCGATTCACACCGGTACCATTTAATTAAGATTTCTTTTCAGACAAGGATAGACAGTCTGATAAATATATAGAGATAGATATAAATTATGTAATAAATATCCCCGAGTACTATATCAGGGAAACCTGATACTGTATCTATATTCCTTCTAATATATATTCCTTCTAATAACTATTATCATCATTTTATGCATATTTCGTAGCCACATAAAAGATTAATTTTATCGTTCATGAACCTTGTAAATATATATATGTCCTAGTTGGGTGCCTGCTACGCCGGTCAGCCTAATTGACCTATAATGTTTCAATTAATAGTTAGTTAAGTGTAAAATCTCGGGTTGAATAAACCTGGCTTAAACCTTAGATAGAGAAGACAGAAATACAGTGCGTTTTCTGTAGTTAAGATTGATTCGAAAAGACATTTTACGACAATCAATTAAAAAAGAGTTAGATAGACAGTAAGATACAGTGATTACCAGAAAGCAATGGTACAGGAAGACGACCCTGAAGCAATATTTGATTGTATTTGACGTTGTTACAAAGCAAATAGTTTTACCCGACACTATTTAAATTGTTAATTTAGTGAACTGGGTCTTATTACACTGGACAATTGCTGTGTCTCATGCTCATTGGACTTTTTAAAGTTAAAACTTTATTCAAAAAGTCGTCTTCCAGTTTCTGAGTTTTCTGGTTATCACTGTCGACTACTGCAAATAGACCTTTAAACAGTAAGAAAGACAGTGAAATAAACTTATTGATAGTTAGATAGATTGATATATAGATAATCAAGTAAGATAGAAAGTTAGATACACATTTAGATAGTTTGTTAAACAAATATATAGATTATAATTAGTTAAATAAACAATCTAGAGAAATATAGATTAACATGTAGAGATAGACAGTTAGATAAACAGAATACACACATATAGACAGTTAGATAAACACATATAGACAGTTAGATAAACACATATAGACAGTTAGATAAACACATAAAGGCAGTTAGATAAACACATATAGACAGTTAGATAAACACATATAGACAGTTAAATAAACAATATAGACAGTTAGATAAACACATATAGACAGTTAGATAAACACATATTATAGACAGTTAAATAAACATATAGCTGGGCAGTGGGCATACCTAGCCAGATATATGTGTAAAGCTATGTGCACTGTGCAGTGTGCACTATAGAGCTTGAGGCTTGAATATCGGGCCTGGCTTAAGATCTTATTAAAAAGAAGAATACCAAGATTTTAATTCAGGTTTAAATTCAAGCAAATATTTACATTTACATTCTTCAAAAGTCGTCTTCAAAGACTTCAAAACAAATCTAAATGGTCTGGAATCTAAGTTGTTCACCCTCAAAAAAAGAAAGTTTGTAAATTCGGAAAAGTCTGAAAAATTTATTACTTTTCATAATTACTTTATTGTGCACACAATTTTTTGCGCGCACACACCATAACATAGTTAGGGACATTTTCTGAAATATCGTATCGATGTATTGTCCTGAAATGTCCTGTCCATATAATATCTTCTCTGAAATATCCTTTATTCAGAAATGTAATGACAATAAAGTGTCCAACTTTCTATGAAATGTCTCATGTATTGCTATGGAATGTCTCTTGTACTGCTATGAAATGTCTCATGTATTGCTATGAAATGTCTCAAAAAAAATATATTTTTAAAAGAACTCTTTTAAAATTTGCCTTTATATGAAATAATTAGTTTTTAATTCATAATAATACTGATAATTAGAATTGGACATATGTTTCAGTTCGCTCTTCAACATCAAGGATTTTAGGATATTTAGACGCTCCTTCAAATTCTGTTCCAGTACAATACAAAATGTCATGTTCTGAAAGGTTTCAAAGTATGTACGTTAACACATTTTCATTTCAATTCGAAAGGATGTTATGGTCTAATACGAGTCAACCTATAATTATTCTTTTTTCCTTTTCCGTTGGTTTTCATTGGCCTTTTCATTTTTACCAAAAAAAACATTTTTACATTACATAATGTAAATTATTTATAAGCTAAAATAATATAAACACTATAATCACAGTTAAGAGAAATCTTCTGTAAAAATAATTTTGTTTCATCATTTTATAAAAGTAAACTTTTCAACAATTTTGTCTAAAACTTTTCTTTTTTGATCCCTATTTAGAATAAAATGATGTTCATCAGTTGTCAAAATAAACTTATTTATTATATACTGCAGTCTTCTCAATTCTATACAAAAACAACCAAATTATTAAATAATGCAAAGAAATGTGGGAAAAATTCACGTTGTAAGAAACGTTTGAAAAAAACCAAATCAATAGTTCACAAACCAAACATTTCAATTCATGATTTTAATTCATATTTAAAATCATTCCAAATCTTCTTATTTTCACCTCAAAAACTAATACATTTGAAAAAATATTTTTCTGCCGAATCCTTGAAAATATTTATTTAATCAAAATGTTAAAGTGTGAGTTTTTTTAACTTCTGAAAAATTACAGTTGAATATTTACCCTCCCTTACCTTCTCTTGCCCACCCTAGCCCTCCCTTGCTCTCCATTGCCCTCCCTTGACCTTCCTTGCCCTTCCTTGCCATCCCTTGCCCTCCCTTGCCCTTCCTTGTCCTCCCTTTCCCTACCTTACATTACCTTCCCTCCCTAATCCTCCCTTTCCCCTCCCTTCCATTCATGCCCTCATTTTGCTGTTAGTGTTTATCTCTTATTAACAGAAAACTACAAAATCGAATTAACAAACTGTATTAATTAATTATTTGTATCATGTCATTAAACATACATCTTCCCTTAACTTCCTTGTATATATTTACTATTGTATCTAAGCTATATTATTATGATATATATATTCCAACAACTGTATATTATGTAATTATTAATCCAATGCAATCTTTTCAGGATAAGCCACTGCAAGATTACAGCTGTCTCTCTATTACAACAGCTGTAAATATTAAAATCAAGAAATCGGCAAAAAACTGACGAAAATCTACCAGAAGTGAGATATCAGGAGAATCAGGAAGAGCTATAATGAGGAACCTGAAATGGAGGTTTAACACTGAACAACTGGTATAGAACTACAATTAACCCTATAGAGGGTGAAGGGAGGAAAGGGAGTAGGGTTCAGGATATATTATAATATCGATTAGTGTGTATAATGCACTGATGCAGGTGAACTGCATTATTCACCTCTTCAGACAATTATCCCATATTATTGGGATATCAGTTACATATCAGCAGCATACTTAAACACACTACCATCATCATTCAAGTGAACAGCTATAAATGGAACAGTGCCGAACTATCCGGACTGAATATTTAAGTTCCAAAATAGATATTTTAGTGTTTAAATTATCCTATTCGTTAACTTAAGACGTATCGATAAACTAGTAAGGATTCAGTTAACAAACAAGGATTAGGTTAACATACAAGGATTCAGTTAACAAACAAGAATTCAGTTAACAAACAAGGATTCAGTTAACTAACAAGGATTCAGTTAACAAACAAGGATTCAGTTAACAAGGATTCAGTTAACAAAAAAGGATTAAGTTAACAAACAAAAATTCAGTTATCAAACGAGTATTCAGTTATCAAACAAGGATTCAGTTAACAAACAAGGATTCAGTTAACAAACAAGGATTCAGTTAACATACAAGGATTCAGTTAACAAACAAAAATTCAGTTAACAAACGAGGATTCAGTTATCAAACAAGGATTCAGTTAACAAACAAGGATTTAATTAACAAACAAGAATTTTCTTAATGAAAAAGGATTCAGTTTAAAAACGAGGATTCAGTTAACAAACTAAAATTCAGATAACAAGAAAAGAAAGAAGAAGGGATGACGATACATAAGTTTTTGAAATAAAACCTTTACAAAGGATTGAATAATAAGGTAAATAATTAGGCTTGGGCAAATTAATTTGTTACAAAATGTATATAAACTTGAAAACTGTGTGTCCCAAACTCTATACAAACTTGAAAACTATGTGTCCCAAAATCTATACAAACTTGAAAACTGTGTGTCTTAAAATGTATACAAACTTAAAAACTGTGTGTCCCAAAAAATTGGAATTTTTTAGTTTCGATAAATTTCAAGTCATATAAAGTGCCTAGTAAGAGTCATTAAAAATTAGACGTAAAGAGGCAGAATTTAGCATTTTATTAATTTTTATTGAATTGATATGTTTTGACTTTCACAATAAAATCAAAATTTTCTTTTATGATGACACTTTGGGACGCCTTGAACATACTTTTCCCTTGGAATATTCTATTACCAAAACTACCCCCTTCCCCCCTCCTTACAAGTATCAAATATACCCCCCTATTATAAACAGAATAGAGATCTTATATAATGATAGTTACACTAAGAAGCAGGATGCATTTTAACACTTTTATTCTTGGTTTATGGAAACAGGGGTTCAAAGCTATATAAAAATAATGTTTTTTTCTAAATTTTTCTATTGATGATAATTAATCTTTTATCTAACAAATGTAAACCATTTTGGAATATCTGTTGTCGTCTTTTTTGTCCAGTGAACCCTGTTCATTAAAAACTTGTTTAGTTTATACAATTAGCTCTTTTGCAGTTCTCAAACCATTGAACATTTCGATATTATAAGTAAAAAGTTATGATTATTAATAATTATAAAAATGATTATACAGGGTGTTCAAATAGTCCTCTAGAAACGATTTTACAAAACATGCTTTAACCTGTAACTATTAAATTTTTTATATCTTTGCAACTTGATAATCCAAACCTTTGATATTTCAAATTTGACTATTCGATATCAAAATTAGGTGGCAAAAATATAAGAATTAGAAAATTTTGAGGCAAGAGAACATAACAGATTATTTTTTTCCTATGGTTTTTGGGTATACTTAACATGATCCAGAGGTCTCATGTTTGTATGTTTATACAGTTAAACCCGAAATGAGCCATACGCCGAAAGAATTTATAAAATATCGTCTTGACAATTTTTAAATGGTTTTTTTATACTATTTTACGTAAATCTTGCGAAAATTAATAAATAGACATAAATATGCGGGAACAGTTTTAAAAAGCTCCATATAATCATTTAATTAAAAAACTAAATATCTGCAACAATCCTTTATCAGAAAGTTAAGAATACGACATTTGATGAATTCTTTCGATTATGGTTTATTTAGGGTTAAACTGTATATTATTTGAATAGAAAGATAAATATCTGGTCCTGTGCCAAATATGAATATTTGAATATGTTCCTATTCTGTGAATGAGGTTAAAGCAGGGTTTAGTCAAGGTTTACATGTTTTGTTTTATTCTGTTTCTTAGGGAAGGGAAACTACATTAAAATATTCAAATCCCTCTTTTTTTCTCTATCTACAATTTAACCCTATTCCGACTGAGGGGGTTCACTGAGATGCCCCCAACTGACGATTTTTTTGCGATAACTCAAAAAGTTTTGGTCTGAGGCTGTTCAATTTTTTTTTAATTTTCTAACTTAAACATGCCCACACTTAAGGCTAAAAGCTGGGCTTTTAAACCGACTGTCTAAGTCGTCAGGCATACTGCCTGAATGCCTCATTTTACCTTTACCAGACTTAATTCAAGTCATTAGACTTTAAGTTTTAAAGCTCTTTGGAAAGCCTACAACACAACTTTACAAGGAAGCAGATTGCACAATTTCTGAAAAGAAATTTTGCATAGATTTTCGCACAGACGCCTTAAAAAGGAATTTGCACATTTTTTGTTTTTCTTGAAAACACATTTAGGTTAGGGTTTCCACGAATTGACCATATTTTTACGCAACATTTTCGTAATTTGTGCGCAATTTTTTGCGAACTTTTGTGCACATTTTACACATGAAGCGCAATATTTATTTTTAAGCTAATTTATTTAAATTTATAATGTTTAGCACAGAATCAAACAACTAAAATTATGATTATTATACTTTTAGTAGCAAAAACATAAAATTGAGGGACAAAAATTAATAAAATAGAAAATTGAAAATTGATGAATAGCTTATTTTAGATGTATGTCTGAATCTTTGTGTCGTGGCAATTATACATTTCAAATGTTGACTACATCTAGTCGAATGTATATGATTGAAATATCAAAGGTGTATGCCCACTGACATGTAGGCAACACTATGTCATCAAATTTGTATACAGCCTCAAGTTTGAAGTGTCACAACGTCTTGGCCTTTGGTTTTACCTCGCCAACTTAATCCTTTTTTTCTAGGCCTAGACATATACATTTTTTCATTGTTTCTAGCTTACGTTGAAAAGGACAAGTTTGCAAAATACTGCTTTATTTTAGTGTGAGAGCGTGAACATCTTTATTGGCAGTGTGCCATCATGCGCCAGGTTGCAAAGTAGGGTTTTAGGCAAATAATCTGTTTCCTTTTAAGCATTGCATTTATATTCCAAAAAGTGCAATCTCATAGTCATAGATAACTAATGCCTTCAGTTTACACCTTTCATCAACCTCTTAATCAGATTTTTTTCTCGCAAAATTGCGCAAAACGGAATAACGCAAAAGCGGAATAGCGCAATTTTGCACGAAACGTAGTTTACGAAATATTGTGGAAAGTGCTATTTTTTCGCGCAAAAATGTAGCGCAACGAAAGCTGAAATTTGCGCTTTCTTTCGCAAAAATTGCGTAAAGGTTTTGTGAATGAATGGAAACCCTAATTTAGGTTTTGAAAATTTTGAAAATATTTTTGCATATTTAAATTTGCTTTGTGAAGGACTTTTCAAAAATGTATGATTTAGTTTATCATAGTTCGCGCACTTTTTGTTTTTTTGCACTTTTTTGCTAAAATATTTGATTTTGCAATAAATATTAGAAATTTTGCTTATTTGCTAATTTTTTCTCAAGATTTGCCCCAGTCTATTTTAGGTAAACCTGACGTGAGTCGGAAAAGGGTTAACACTGCTAAAACTTGATTTTCATATTTGAGAACAAATGTTTCAAAAATAAGTTTTAAATTCATACGGCTGATCAAAATGCATGTTGGTGTTTTAAAAATGAAAAAAAATTGTCCACATCATTTTATTAATATTGTTAGATATTTACATTTTTGAAAAGCCATTGAAAAATGGATGTAAAACGTTTGTCACGTATTAATATTTGTCAAAAATTCAAATTTAATTAGTACATTTTTTAACATACTGATAGGAAATCTTTTTGATGGATCTATTTTGATTTTTCCAATTTACTTTGATTAAATAAGTTATGTTCTTTCCCTAAATTCTGGAGAAAAATATATATGATTTAAATTCTAAAACTTGGTTTGCCGATGTACTAAGAGATGGAGGATAATTTTAATCGTTTGTATTTAAACCTTTAAAAAAACAAATTTTGAAATATTATTCAAATATTTAGAATGGGTTGTATCTCTAGTAAAGACGAGGAGAGGGAGAATCATGGTTTTGATCAGGTCTACAGAGAAAAACAGCAGGTAGATACCCCCCCCTCTCAGTGGCGTACACAGGAATTTTTAAAGGGAGTGACCGGCAATGTATGGTGGTTGAACCGAATATAAAATGTTTCTACGAATTTTATTTCCTGACTTTGAGGGCAAAGTCGACGTTCAAAATCATGAATTTGTGTGTGTACGTTTTCAGAATCGTTTTTTTTCAATTATTAATTAACGACGACAAAAAATGTTAATTCTACTGTAAACTAATAGTTGTTTAGGAACAGGTTGAGAAAATAAAAATTGACTCTTATCATCGAAAATAAGTAATTTTATTTAATTATTAGTTTCTATAATCTCTCATTATTCAAAAAGATTTTCTGCAGATTTTCTGGAATTTTTATTGAAAAGACGACATTTGAAGAATTTGTAGAAATCTGCGAACAAATTCACGGAAAATAAGAAATTCAAAAATAATAATAAAATAGGAAATAATTAATTCTAAGTTGCTAACTTTAATTTATTGACAAATATCTTTTGAGAAATATGTTCTTAAACATCTAACTACGGTGTAATTTTTACTTTATTTTTCGTCGTCGTTTTTTAACAATTAAAAAAACTGATTCTGAAAACGCACCCATCTAAATTCATGATCCTAATTTTTTTGGGGACCATATACCTCGCTTATCTTTTTTATTTTTTTTTATTCAGATGTTTTGATTTTTGATTTATAACAAGAAAATGACTGAAAATTTTTTATTTTAGCACTAGACCCCTCTTCTTTCATAACTCTCTCCTCCCCTCTTCTTCCATAACTCACTCCCCCCCTGTTCTTCCATAAATCTCTCCCCCCTCTTCTTCCATAACCATCTCCCCCCCCTTTCTTCCAATTCCTAATTACCCAACCCACACTCCCCTTTGTGCAATTGCTCAATGCGCTTTAGAGCAAACTTCCTGAATCTCACAATATACTCCACACCAGGTGGGTTCCGGGGGAGGGGGGGCTTTATCTTTTCATAATTTCCTTCCTTACCCTCCTCCTTAACCATTCATTCATAATTATCTTCACTCCATTCCCAGTTGATAGTGGAACACATTAAAAGTTAAGGAAGGAAAATCAGAACGTACAGTCGTTGTGGCAAATTTCAATACAATAAAGACGATTTTTGATTTCAATTTATTTTTATCAAGTCAAGCTGTTAAACAGCATGGATTGGATACATATAAACATAGAAGTCAAGCTGTCAATTTAAATGCTTCTTTTTGATTACTTGTAATTCAAAAACTTGTTAAAAATCAAAACTTAAATAAAAATGTCGTCTTCATTGCATTGATATAATCTTCTACCAATGTAAAGAAAGGATGAATACAGAATTTAAAATAAAAAATGAAAAAATTGGATGAATAAGAATAGATAGGATAAACGTACGTATAAAAAAGTTTATCCATGGAACGAACTTTTAAAAGAATAAATGAAAATGAATACAAGTTAGAGACCCATAAATTACTGTGAAATAGTAAGACGACATTTAAGCAATATTATGTGTATTTGATGCTGTAACAAAGCAATTGAAAATAAACTACAGGGTGTCCCACGAAACATGACAATAGCAAGACGTCTTTGATATTTGAATTTATTTGTGACATTTAGTCTTCTATCTACTTTAACATGTATGATTCTTGAAACAATTATTACATAATTCTCCTAGCCCTGGCATTTCCAAAAAGTGGTCTGCGTTTTTTGTGCTTTTAATATTACCGGAGATATACAGAGTTTGGTTCAGATTTCAATTTTGTCAAATAAAAGCAAAATTGTCGAAATCTGAACGAAATTCTTCATATCTCGGGCAATATTGAAAGCACAAAAAGGCAGACCACATTTTGGAAATGGCAGGACTAGGGAAATTTGTGATTATTATCTCTAGAAATTTACTTCTAAAATTAGGTTGACAAATAAACGCAGCAAATTATATCAAAAATCAATGCATACTGTCATGTTTCGTGGGACACCCTGTATATAAAGTGAGATATGTCTTTTTAAATTGGAAAATTTCTGTGTTTAATGTTCATATTGAAAACCATAACTTGAGTCTAAAAGCCGTTTCATAGTTTTATAATTCTAATAGCCGTTTCCCTATTTCATAGTTTTATAAGTCTCTCTGTACAAAAACGTGTAAAAGAATGGATGAAAATAACGTAGCAGATAGTAGATGAAAAGAACGTATAAAAGAACATGGAGTCGTAAAGTACTACTCCGAATCCTGTATAGTGTATTATGCACATATTCAAAGTGTGTTCAAAAATTCAGAAAAACATAATTGCAAACACTAAAAAGGAACTGAATTATCTTCTCAAACTAATTTCTATTCAATAAATCTTACATTTACCTTCATAATTGTGATGTTTATCAAGATTTTGTTCTGATGGGGTCCAACGTGCAAAAATAATTAATTTTTTTTTATAAAATTGTGTTCGCATTTTTGTCGTTTGAGATCAAAATGATTAAATTAACATCAATTTTTCAAGATTGTTTGACACGTGAAAAACAATGTGTTGGGACGTCCTTTCGGTGAAGAATTTTTCTGATGAATGAATATGAAACCAGATGTAAAAACTTTTGAATTCAAATTTCTTCCCTGATGCATAAATTTCTGTCAAGCAGTGGGTAAATAAAACTAGTATGTACAAACTAGTGAGACATTCTTTAAATTTAAAAAATTTAACTCTAGGATTTGCACTTATAACTTAAGTTAAGTTTGGTGACAGAAAAATCTAAGTTTTACAATTACAATCAAATCTCTACTTTCATATCACATCATATTTCAAACCCATGGATGCCGTACATACTTTTTGTCAACAAAAAAACCCGTTTTATGCAACTTTGTAATTAAAAGTTTACGAATTGGATAACTTTACAGACAATGATTCTTATCCACATAAACATCAACAAGATTAATTCCGCAATTTAAAAAACTGAGAAATCCAGGATTAAATATTTCATTTTCAGGTTCGAGGGTCGCCGACTAAACGCAATTCCACGGGAACACTACCCCGGGATGGAAGTAGCACAGTGGACAGAAGAAATAGACCTTCAGGTTCCCAGTTCGATCCTCAGAAGGATATGATCATACATACTCTACGCCAGGACGGAGCTTACAGGATAAACGAACCAGTTCGAACCATAGACCGGAGAAACGGAACAGAAGAGAGGAAAGGGAAAGAGAGGAGAGAAAGCGGAACTGGACGGAGAGAAAATGGTGTCGCGCAAGAAAGAAGAGAAAGTGGGGTGGGCCAAGAACGAAGAGAAAGCGGGACAGGACAAACTAGAAGAGAAAGTGGAGTTGGTCAAGAAAGAAGAGAAAACGGAACGGGTAAACACAGAAGAGAAAGTGGGGTGGGTGCGGAGAGAAGAGGGAGTGGATTAGATCAGGATAGGAATGAAAGCATGACTGGTCGAGGTTTTGAAGAGAATGGTCGAGGACGGAGAGCAAGCGAGGTTGGACGGAAAGAGAACGGAGCGGATAGATCAGGAGTTGAACCTAGATCTGCCGGTAGATCAGGTAGACCAGGTAGACAGGACGAGGATAGTTTTGCTAGAAATCAGTTTGACCGGGCCAGCCAGCTTAGACGATCTAAAAAGAAGCGGAAAAAGAGCAGTGTTGATCAAACACAGTCTCCGATATCACCAGGAGCCAAGTCTGTAAACAGTGAAATATCGTATCTGGAGACTCCAGTGAAACGTGATAAAACTGCTCAAAGTATCGTCTCCGAGTCAACTCCTAAGTCCGCTGAAATCTCCCCAGGTCGAACCGAAGCGGAATATGATCCGAAATACGGAAATCTGATATAATCAGAGGAAGACGACACAAGTCAAATCAAAGACGAATTTTCTGTATTCATTCAGAGTTATCAAAAAGTTATTATTCTCCAAGTTATTCTTTTTCTCTCGGCAACAAAAATATTTTTGTTTGCAAATTGTTGATTTTAAAGGAAGTCAACAGTATATTGACGCCATCATAGAGAGTTTCAGTTATAGAATTAAAATCATCCATTTTACCATAAAATTTCAGATTTTGGATTGTAGTTTTGTTTAATCTGAAAACAATCAAAATGATCTATTATGATTTTTGAAATCTGGATTAAATATTAGAATTTTCAGTCTAAAAAATTCCATGACAATTATATTTTCCAAAAATTTACCCTTTCTCAGCCGTAAATTTATTATGACAGTTATCTGTGATATAATAACACAGACTACACTGATAGGTAAAGGCAGTGATACAGTGGGAACCATAAAGTAGTGGGATAGGAAGACGACTGTTAGACTTAAAGGGACTGTAAGCGTAATGTTAAGTGCCCCTCCGTGTAAACAGAACTAGTTTTCTTAAAAGGTTGATTTTAAAGCTACTTCTTTAAGACAACATCAAATACATACAAGATTGCTAAAATTTCGTCTTTATATTTCACAGTTTTACGGGTCCACTGTATATCTTCCAAAAAGGTTACTGAACTATAAAGCAACCTTATCTGTGTAATCTGTGTTTACCATTTTTTGTAATTATGTGAATGTAAATATTTCCATCATTTATGTATTTAAATTACTAATTTCGCGTATATGCGATATTAACCCGTGTTTCTAAGCAAAAAGCGCCTTCTCTGATATATTACAGTGGTCCCAAAATCTCCAAAAAGATGATTCAAAGAAACGACCAAAACTTGATTTGCTATTAAACCACGTAAGCGTACGAACGCTGCGTACTAAAATTTATTTTTAAATGTTTTTTTAAATTATGGTTAAATTTTTTTTCGTTTTTATCTCATTTTTTAAGGACCACCGTAAGAAAACCGTTAATTGAAAAGTAATTTGTCGTTATGTAAATGCAACCTATCAATGTTGTGCCATTGAAAGTGCCCAGCACTGATTTTTTTGCGGCCATTTCCAGGATTTTTGGTAAAATTGAATAGAATTGCACTTGCTCATATTATAATGCTCTGTGCCATTATATTTCTTTTTTTACAATTATATATTCATATTGTTATATCCTAATTTATACTTTTTGACGGGAACGGAATTCATATTTTTAAAAATAAACATAATGCTCTAATTTTCTCATTAAGACTCGGTCAAAAACATTCTAAGATGTTTCTGTCATTTTCACTAATGCGTTTTATCAATTAGAATAAGTTTCTATCATTTTTGCTCTCTCAGAAATCTTTTCATTAAACCATATATAGAGTATTATTAAATTTTTTATTTCTCTGTATAATTCCTTGAAAATATTGATTCAAATGGCATATTGATGTACTTTTCATTAGAAATCTACCATTAAATTGAAATACAGGGTGTGTCTTATGTGAACTATAGAAAGATTATATATAGGGAGTGTCAGAAAAGATATCTTTTGCTAATTTCTATTTATGATTCTAAGTTTATCTATTTCCTTAATCATCAATTTTACTCACGTTATCTGATGCAAACATTGGATTAGTAACCAGTGGCGTATACGAGAGCCTTTGTGTAGAGGGGGCAGTTTCAGGGCGCGTCAGCGCTGAACATTATTTTGGTACCCCCGGCCCCTTGGCAACATTATGCCCTCTCTTAAAAACCCCTTATTTGAAAAATATTGATACCTTTTTATCTGTTAAGGTAAATTATTCGATTGTATACACACTTAGAAGTGTTCTAAATTATTTACGTAATTCTCTTAAGTCATCAGACATAAATAATGATGTCAAATTTATATTTTGTATTGATTACAATTTTTTAATGAAACTTTTTTAGTTAAGGGCAAAAGTGAGTTTTTAAAGTATTTTTTTTATATGATGTAATTATACTTAAATGGAATACATTTCAATTGACCCTCCATTTATAGAGTGGCATGTCCGATGTACCTTTAAAACCTTCCTTTCTCCATCATTTCTGAAGCAAGTTAAATTCATGAGTCACTATTGTAGAGAAACCACAAATGAAAATAATCAGTTTTCAAAATGGTAAACATGGATATTTAATTCAATACTTGATCAGACAAAGCTTCGAATGGTATTGTAATGAATCAGAATTGAAATTATGACTGCAGTCACTTTCAACCTCTCAATTGATTCTATATTAATTAAACTGCTTTGTAGGTTTGTGAACTTTGAAGAAATGAAAAAAATAAGGAATTGAGTCTTTGTAACAAACTCAAATTTTCTAATACCTATATTTTTTCCACCTGATGTGTAAACCTTTGATATTTCAAACTTAGATTCTTTCATCTAACAGAATTCATAGTTAAAAATATCTAAGATCTACAGCATTGGGTTGCAAATATATATGAAGATATTAGAAAATCATAGTTTGTAACAAAGACTCAATTCCTTTACAAATTGATTTTAAAAAAAGAAAATGAAAAGCTTTAAAAGTACTGACTCCAAAATCGAGAATCCGAGGTTTTCCCCCAACAAATCTCCAGATGTAAATGACCGTATTTTTGTCCTACAAGATTACCCACAATGGATGAGACTGATCAGAGACGAGTGTACGAAATTTATTCCGTTTATATATTTATGATTTTCTGCAACTAAAAACTTAATTTTCTTTTCCAACTTAATAGATAAACTATTTAAAGATTGCATTCAAATCAGAGGACTTAATATAAACTAGGGGTCGTCTATATCTCAAGAGTTTCAAATCGTCATTTATGTCTCATCCTTGTCAAACAACAAACACTTAAAACCTACTGTTTGAAAAGTAAGCTTTTATACATTGATAATATAAAAATTCTATCCTGTTTTATGAACAGATGAAAATCAAATATAAAACAGCAAGGAAATCTGGTAATTCATCATACTTGATGTAGTTTACAATCAAATTTATTAAATGTTTAGTTTGCTGGAGCATACATAGATGTGTGTAAAATTGATAACAAAAATTTAACTAGTAAAAATAAAAAATAGATGGGTAGACCCAATAAACATGGGAATTAAGTAACTACTTATAATATCGTCTTTGTTCCACGCGGCATAAATTTAAAAAACACAATTCTAGTAGTAGTATCACAGTTAAAACAACTATCATCAAAACCACATTCAGGATTTTCAAAATAACAACAAAATTGTAAACTTTTTAATAAGCCCGACAATTTGAAAAATACATTCTACATTTTTTATGCAGCTCGTTGTTATTTATAAAATACGATTTTCAAGCCGTCTCTCAATCTCCATGTTTTTTTAAAGGACACAATCATTAATTTTAAATTGAAACAAAATAATTAAAGAAAAAAGAAAATAGGTTTGTTATATTTAGCATGGGTATAGTCTTGATTTAGAATCTGGTATATTGACAGGGATTGGTAGAGTTTAGAATATGGTATATTGACAGGGATTGGTAGAGTTTAGAATCTGGTATATTGACAGGGATTGGTAGAGTTTAGAATCTGGTATATTGACAGGGATTGGTAGAGTTTAGAATCTGGTATATTGACAGGGATTGGTAGAGTTTAGAATCTGGTATAATGACAGGGATTGGTAGAGTTTAGAATCTGGTATATTGACAGGGATTAGTTGAGTGTAGAATCTGGTTGACAGGGATTGGTAGAGTTTAGAATCTGGTATATTGACAGGGATTAGTTGAGTGTAGAATCTGGTATATTGACAGGGATTAGTGGAGTGTAGAATCTGGTATATTGATAGGGATTAGTAGCGTGAAGAATCTGGTATATTTACAGGGATTAGTAGAGTGTAGAATCTGGTATTTTGACAAGGATTTCTTGAATTTTTGACCTTAAAGCCGTATTAATTGGACTAAACAATTAAGATTCGCATTCGAAATAAGGGTCGATATAAATTATCTCTTCCTTTATCTCAATATCTTCAATCTTTACTATTTGATCATTTTCCACATCAGTAATTTCACTTTTTATATATCCATTTTCAATATTTTCTTCTTCAGTTTCTTTTTTGATTATATTTTCAAGATTATCAGTTTGGTCATCAACTTCTTTTTTGATTATATTTTCAAGATTATCAGTTTGATCATCAAATTCTTTTTTGATTATATTTTCAAGATTATCAGTTTGATCATCAACTTCTTTTTTGATTATATTTTCTGGATTTTCCTTTATAACTGTTACAGGAAGAGTTGGCAAATCTTGAGAATTAATGATTTTAATGAATTTAGGATTAATGATTTGATGATATTTTGAAGTGTGTCTCATTAAATGTGTTGATCTCATCGCCGCATAATCACACTGACTACATTGAAAACGCCGTTTTCCTTCGTGAATTTTCTCTGTGTGGCTTTTTAAGTGTGACGGTGTAGATGCAGAATACTCACATTTGTCACAAGAATATCGAACCTTGTTGTGTCGACTGTCCGTGTGCTGTTTTAAATGAGAAGATTGAGATGCAGTATAATCACATTCAGTACATTTAAACCTTCTTATTCCTTCGTGCACCCTTTGTTTGTGTAGTTTTAAATGCGAGGATGTGGAAGATGTAAATTCACAAATATCACATGGATATCGGATACCTTCGTGTTTACCCTCTCTATGCTGTTTCATGTTAGATGATTTAGTTGCTGTATAATCACATTGATCGCAATGGAACCGGTGAATACCTTCATGTTTACTTTCAACATGAACTCTCAGATGTGAAGCAGTGGGAGCAGAATAATCACACTTATCACAGTGCACTCTGATTCCTTTATGTTTGATGTTCGTGTGTACTTTCAGATTTCCCGTCGTTGATGCTTTATAGTCACACTCGCTGCAGGGATACACAATTCCTACAAGAGCATATACTTTCCTGTAATATTCGTGATAAATTATATATATTTTTTTAAAAGTTGAAAATAAAGTCCTACATGATTATTCACAGTTTGAATGTTAAATTTCTTATATTCCTTTAATCAAAGGGACTGTTCAAGTAAAAATTGCACTTTATTACCCTGGATAAATAAAATATGGCGGAAGAATAGAGAATATTTTTCTAGGAATTATATGAACTTCCCTAAATGTTTATTTCGTATATGCTTCTTTAGATCTGTAGATAGTGTTGCAACATACTCGCATTCAACACACGGATACTTGAGTCCGTCGTGTACACTTTTCTTATGCTTCTTTAGATTAACAGGTCGGGATGTAACATAATTGCACATATCACACAGATGAGTTATCCCTTCGTGAACAAAACTTTTATGAACTTTCAGATCTTTTATTTGAGAAAACGAACCCTCACATTGGTCACATGGATACCTTACTTTTTCATGTATACTCTTCTTGTGTCGTTCCAAATTATGTTTTAGTGTTGTAGAATACTCGCATTGATCACAAGAATGTTCAAGATTATCCATATTCAGTATTCACAGTAGTAAAACGCAAAGCAGAAACGATGACTGAACTTCTGAAATAAAAGAACAATTTACGAAAAAAAATCTATGAAAAATTCTGGACTGAAAAGAGAGTGAGAAAAAATTATTTTTATCTTAAACAAGTCAAAAAATTCAAAAATACGATGACTGAACATCTGAAATAAAAGAAAATTTTACTGAAAAATAATCTATGAAAAATTATGGACTGAAAAGATAGTGACAAAAAAGTATTTTTTTTTTAACAAGTCAAAAACAATATAATACAGTCATAATCAGAAAGAGTCGGAATTAACTGATAATTAATCAGACGACTTTACAATCTAATTTTACAAATATGATTAATGAAACGATAATAACAAAATAGCTTTAGTCCTGCCAATTCCAAAATGTGGTCTGCACTTATTGTGCTGTAAAATTACCCGAGATTATAAATGTATATAAATGTAAATATTCTTAAGGAATTCAAAATTCACACAAAAAGCTTAAAATACAGAACTTGTAATTTTAAGAGACCCAACCTCCTGACTGCCAACGATATCTTTTATTTCTTTTTAAAAGTGTTTAATTCTAGAAATATTCTTCAATTGTTCCGCAACATACATCCGAATGTCACTTTTACAGAAAAATCACATTCAAAAGTGATTGATAAATAAAAGATAAAAACCTGAATAATGAATAAGAAACATAAATGAATTTTTAATCAGACAAAGCTTTTAGAGGAACCGTTGTAAATCAGACATTGCACTCTCTACCTTTCATCTACTTTTAATTTTGCTAAAAACACCGTAACATGAAACTTTTCAATGCCATCTATATATAAATTTGGCTTGTCTGTCTGTCTGTTTTGTTTGTATCCAATAAACGTCAAAACGGCTGAACCGATCGGGCCCAAATTTTTTGTGTACTTTGCAGCATATACAGACAGCATATACAGAATATAGAAATTCAATCTAAACATTTTTC